AAGAAAGAAAGAAAGAAAGAAAGAAAGAAAGAAAGAAAGAAAGAAAGAAAGAAAGAAAGAAAGAAAGAAAGACGGGCAGACTAATCTCCCAACAAGGACATCAAATAAAAAAAAAATCATGTCATGTCAATTCCTTGAAACTGCATAACTTTTTTGTCTCAGTTATAGGTCATTCAGGCTCAACTAGTGGCAATTAACATGAGGTACAGAATACACGAGCTAGTTTTTAATAATAAAACAATATGGTAACGTATAAGAAAACCCATGCCTTTAAAAATTCCATCATAAGCCAGGCGGTGGTGGTGCACGCATGCCTTTAATCCCAGCACTTGGGAGGCAGAGGCAGGTGGATTTCTGAGTTTGAGAGTTCGAGGCTAGCCTGGTCTACAGAGTGAGTTCCAGGACAGCCAGGGATACACAAAGAAACCCTGTCTCGAAAAAAAAAACCAAACCAAAAAAAATTTTTTCCACCATAAGCTATAGTCAGTATGTCATTTTAGCTTTTACAATGATGTTCAAAAGATCATCAGACAAGTAAATTATTATAGAGTATATGTGTGGGGGTGGGTGGGGGGCAGAGAGAATATGTGTGTATTATTGAAGGACCCAAACTCTAAGAAATCTCCAACCAGCTGTGAAGAAAAAGTTCAAGTCCATGTAGGAATAAGGAACTCAGTACTAGGACATAAGAATAAAGCAATCCATGTTGACTTCATTCTTTAAAATGAGAGACTTGACCTTAAAAAATACATCAACAGAACTATGACAAGCCTGAACACATGTGGAGTCACAGCAAGACAGACAACCAAGAAAGACCCTGTGAACCTATTCTAGACCGAAGGACAGCACAAAAGGAGACCATCTGGCAATCAGAGGAAACATCTGAAGAAGCAACTTCACCCACCCCACACAAGATGAGGCCTTTTGCTCTTAACTGTACTAAAGGTTTTTATTTCTCTTTTCATTCTTGGGTGTGTATGGTCACCTGGACACTTGAAGAGCTAGGCAAAGCAAAGGAAATCGATTTCATACGCTAATGACACACTGAAGATGCTCGTACAGAAGCCACTTCTCTCCAAGTGTCTCACTACTCCTTGAGCCTTCATATAAGAGTTCATAGCACTCTTTCATAGTAAATTTCAGAAACATATGCAAACTGAATGTGTTGTCCCACACCCATAATCATAGCTCTATGGAAACTGCAAGTTCAAGGTCACACAGAGCTACACAGAAAGCACCAAGAGATCAGCAAAATAGCAGACTTTCACTCTCAAAAACAAACACAAGCACACAAAGCAAAACAAATACCACCAGATACAAATAAACAATTGAAAAAACAGAATGAAGAAATTTATGTAAGAATCCAGTAAGTATGTGTGTATATGTACAACTATAAAATAAAGATTTTAATGCTATGTTTCTAAGTGTGTTGCCTACATGTACATCCATGCACAATGTGTGCGCAGTACCAAGGAGACAAAAAGAGGGAATCAGATTGCCATAGCTGGAGTTAACAGATAGTTGTGAGCTGCTATATGGGTTCTGGGAATTAAACCAGGGTCTTATGCAAGAGAAGCCAGTGCTCTTACGCACAGAGCAGGCTCTCTAGCCCTAAGTTATGTATACTTTAAATGATTCCAGTGTATAGAACAGAACACAATGCTGGCTTTCTATTCCATACAGTCCACCAACTCCCAGGACAGTTTTCAGATTAGAAATTGCTACACTACAGAACTCATACAACACTATATAATTAGTCAGATAAATTTTTAAAAACTTTGTTTCATTATTAAGGCACCAGAATCACCCCACCTTAATAACTCAATCCTGCTTCCTCCTTTACACCTGGATTAAAAATATCTTTGAAGGACCCATGTTTACTAATCTGATCTCTTCATTAGACAGTAACTTTGACATAATTTTAACTTACCTGAAACATAGTCAATCATATAAAGACCATTCATGCTATTCTGCTGTCAGCTTCAAAGCACTCTGGTGAAAATAAGAACCATGACTACCTCCCCAGTTTCTGAAGCAGTTGTTTCTCCCCTAATGATACTTGTCTCCAAAATGACACAAGAATCACTCTATTGCAGATAGTTTGTCATTGGAATGAAAATTAGAGTCTGCTAGACATCTGAGTAGTTTGCATGCATGAAGTGCTGGCACATCTTCAAGTAAGGTCTGACTGTGAAGCTCAACCACAGCCCCAGAGCATTTGAGAGATTGGATAGAAGGTACAAGCGAAATGAAAGACTTGCTGGCTTTAGGTTTGTATACTCTACTCAGGCAGAGAGACAGAAAGAGAGGAGGGAGAACGTGTTATCTCTATATGTCAAATGCTTATCTTCTCCAAACCT